CTCCAGCCCAAAAAGGGGTTTTAAACATCCCCCTGCTCCACAGCGGGGCCAGGACCGGGATGTTCGGTCACCGCTGACCCAGCAGCAGCTGATGGAAAGCCCTCATCACTGACACGAGCGCGGCCGTTCTCAGCCGGGGCCAAACAACCCCTGTTTCAGCCTCGGCAGTGAGGTCATTAGCTGCAGAGCCGCAATCTTTCTCTTTTATCTCTGCTGCCCTTCCCCAGCTCTTTGGCTTGTGCTTGTTTTGTTGCCTTCAAGGAAATGGGCTCGGGGTAGAAGCCGGAGGCGAGGCGCTCCACCCACCGCTCCCTTCCCCGTGCCACAGCACCCCGCTTTGTATCCCACCCCCCGCGAGCAGGGCTGGGTGTTGCCTGGCTCCTCACAGCTGGAGAACAGGGAGAGCTGCTTCAAAATAAACCTTATATGTTTTCAAGCCTCATTATTGGAGTTTCTGTCCCTTCTTTTGAGTGTCTTTAACTCTTTTTCCCTGCCAGGGCTCTGCAAGCATCCCGTTGGCTCCGACGGAGGGATGCTCCGCTTCATACCCCAAATCCCTCTCCATTTTTCGGGATGTCCCTGGCAAGCCTTAGGGACAGTAGAAAGCCTCTGATTTGGATGTTTGAGCTGGAGCGGCTGAGCCATTTCTGGGAAAATGAAAAGAAACAGAAAGTTTTTGGGGCAGATGTTGGCCAGCCCGCTCCTAGCAGAAATCCTAGAAAAAATTACGGACCGGAGTAAAACCTTCTGCCTTTCCCACCAGCTCCTTTCCCCGATGCCCTGTCCCTGCTGCTGTCAGCGGGTCCAGGACCTCTCCTGCGTGTTTAAAATACCTTGAGACTGGCACTTGAGTAGAAATGCCAGGGATTCCAGCAGGCTGAGCCCCGTGCGTCAGGGAGATAACAGCAGCGGGCGATGCTGAATCAGTAAATAAGCGGCTGCCCCCCTCCTGGGGGTGAGCATCGCCGCTCGGCTGGGTCCTTGGCTGCAAGGACCGCGGGAGATGCCTGGTCTCACCCCATCGCATCCCAGAGAGCTGCAGCTCGGGGACCAGCTCCAGGGTGAGGTCGTGGGTCTCTGGGTACCAGGACTTGATCCCAGGAGGAGAATAAATCCCTCTGATGGGTCACCTTGTGTTTACACAGCTCAGATTAGCAGAGGTGAATCCCAGGTGGAGAAACACATCCAGGTTCAGAGGAGAGGAGGTATTTCTCTAAGAAAAAGGGGATTTCTGCCCCCCAGGTTAGCCCTTGCCAGGACCAGCTGTCCCGTCTTTATTCCAAGCACAACACTATGTTGGCCGTGGACCAGCACGGTTGGGAAAGAGCACGAGTTCCTTTTTTTGGAGGAGGCAGAGACCAAAAAGTCCCAGGGCACTGGGCAAGCACAAACCCCAGTGTTTTTCTCCCATTGTATAAAGGAGACTTTAAAGCACATCTCATTTTTGCTTATAACAAAGTTTCAAGTCAAAAAAACTCTCATCACGCGGCAAGGTCAGTGCTGCCGTTGAGCCTCACCAGAGCTGGGGATGCTGCCTGGGAAGGGGCAGGAGCTGCTGGAGCAGGATGGCTGCTCTGGAAAGCCAGAGAGCATTTCCCCATCCCCAATTTCTTTGTAAACCAGTTTTGGCCAATATCTGTCTGCCTTCCTGGAGCCAGCTGAGGTATTTTGCTTAGGCGGCTGCAGGGCAACGATGCCCAGTGGCATAGAGAAGGGTTTTCATTTAAAAGGCTCCTCTTGTCTCTCAGCAAACCAGAGAGCTAGTCCCTGCTCAGAGCACGTGTGCCAAGGGATGGTCAGGGCACTGAACGTCTAGAGAAAATGCTGATCAAGAAGGAATCAGTTATGTGAAGATTTAACACGTGTCAGCAGTCACAAACTCGTGGTCCGGGAGGTTCAGGTTGAGGAAATACTTCTCCAGCAGGGTTGTGCAGCCCTGGGTTGGGCACGCAGAGGTGGGGGATCTCCATCCACAGACATTGCGAGCCTCAGCCAGGCCAACGCAGGGCTGATACATCTGGTGTTGGACTGGAGGCCTTCTGAGATCCCTTCCACCCATGTTTCCATGCCCCGCTCCTCTCCCTTCTGCCCCAAAACCTGACAGCTCGCAGCTCTAAGGGGACCATGAAGACTTCTCCCAGCTGTTCCCCCTAAAAGCTCCTACCTCCCACCTTGCTGCAAAGCAAGGACCAGCAAGGGCCAGATTACATGGACGAGGGAAGAAGCCATACTGACAACCCCAACCCAAAGTCAGTGCAGCTCCCTGATCCAACCCAGAACTAATCTTGTAATTTTGAGGGAGGGCTAATTTGCTTTTAGATCCAAAAGCAGCCAAGGGAAGGGATGGGACTGGGCTTTAGGTGACCCAAAGTCTCAACTCCAGCTCCGTACCTTGTGCCAAAGAGATCTCACTGCAAGGTGACATCTATCAAAGGGCATCCAGCTGAGGGTCTCCAGGGTGCTGGATGACACCTAAAGACATACCACGTTGTGCAGTACACCACTTTCTTCTGTCCCTCACAACCAAGAGAGCTGCCCAAGCTCCCCCAGAGCAGGCTAAGAGGTTGCAGAAGTCCTCCCACCCCCTGCAAAACCAGCTCAAGCAGTGGCCATGCTGTGAGCAAGCCCCAGCTCCTCACAGGTCTCAGTTTTTCGTGAATCCAGCCACCTGAATTTGCTCTGACAACAAACATCGCATCCCCAAGATGTTCAGTTGGTCCAATTCCCACCACTACCTAAAGTGGGAACCTCTCCCAGCTAGTGGGGAGCAACAGATCTTGGGTTTGGGGCAGGAACATCTTGCCATTATAGCTGCTCTGCTGAGCAGAAAAGCCCAAGTTTCATAGCAACAGGAGGGGAAAAAAGCAAATGTGACTCAGGCATGTCAGAAAGCCCCTTTCTGGAGGAGGGGAGCGGGGGCAGAAATTCCAGTCCCTGCCTCTGTCCCAGGCAGAGCCCAACCCACCAACCCTCACGTTGTGCTACCTTCCTAATCCAGCAAAGCTTGGGGCAGGGACTGGAATTCCTGCCTCTGTCCCAAGCAGAGCCCAACCCACCAACCCTCAAGTTGTGCTCCCTTCCTCATCCAGCAAAGCTGGATTTCTCTCCCAGAAACAGCTTCAGGCAGGAGGAGAGTGGTCCAAGTTTTATTAAAGCCTTAGCTCCCCTTGGCTTACTGAGTAAGGAGTTACCAGCATAGCTCCAGAAAAAGGTGAGATGTTTTGAGGCTAAACACAAGAGGCCAAAACCAACTCCATTCTTCTAGAGACAAGAAGACAGAGCATGAGGAGGGTAATTTTTTTTTTTTTTTTTTTGCATCAGTTGCCAACTAGGTGCTGTGGGGGAAGTTCATGGGGGTGTAAAGCTGTACAAAGCTCTGCTGAGGACAGGGCTTCAGGAGAATGAGACACCAAGATTGGGCAAAGAAGCACAGTTAAAGTTAGCATGAAGATTTGATTAGCTCAGGCTCCAGGAAGACTTCTCCACCTCCCCCACATCTCTCACAGTCCTTCAAAGTCTATAAAAGTTGAAACCAGTAACTTAAAGGGGGTTGTTGGGCTTCCGGCAGACAGTCAGAGCTCCTAGAACAGCAAGGATCAGGATGACCAAACCAGCAACTGCTGCCAGTCCCAAGACCATCCACAAGTGACCTGCATCTAGGAAGGAGAAGTAAGGAGGTGGTTATGGCTAGAGCCAGGACCTGCCACACAACCCCCCCCATCCTTCCCTGGGTTTGCCCTACCTCGTGAAGGCAACCTCCTAACTGGGTGATCTTGCCAGCTGTGGATGAAGAGAGGTCCAAGCACAACATCTGCCTCTTTCACCAAGGGATCTGAAAGGGAGGACCTTTGAGCACCCAAACTCATTTGACCATCTAGCTCTCCCAAGTCTTAGATTAGCACTGAGGAGCCAACAGGCAGTGAGGCAGCTCCAGCCATCCAGCTCTGAGTGAGTTACTGTGATGGTGACAAAGACCAAGAGGCACAGTGAGACATACCAAGCTGGGAGGGCAGTTCTCTCCGGGCACGTCCTCCTTGCCATCGGGAGGGAGCATGGAGTCTCCTGGAATGCCTGGCCAAGCCACAGCTCCTCATCTCGCAGCAGGAGCAGACATCCCGCGTGCCTTCCACGGGAGCCCAGCTAGAAGAGAGCCTAGTGAGTAGCCCGTCCTATGGTAGGAATCCCTCACATGCTTTGGGGTCTCCTAGGAGAGACCAAAACCCTCCCACCCAGATGGCCAACCCCACCTTCCTGAAAGGTGACACCAGATGAGAAGCCCAAGCTCTTCACCCTCGGGCAAGCTGCTATTCCAATTACTCACAGGTTGCTGGCTTTGTTGAAGGAGCAAGCCTTGTTCAGAGGGTCTGGAGCTTGGTCAGCCAGGGAGACCTTCAGGTGGCAGGTGATGTAGATCTGGGGGGGCCAGGCAGGGCAGAGGGGTTAGGTCGTCATTTGCCTTTATGACTTTCCCACACACCATGAAGTTGGTCTCCAATGGGACAACCAACTCCCCAGGGCAGCTCAAACCCCTCTGCTTCCTTCCAGCCACTTAAGGGTTCAGATATTGAACCCCATCAGAAGGCCTTGTCTTGACCAGTATCAGAACTGGTCTTCAAGGAAGATCCTTGGCTCAGAGGGCCACAATCCGGAAGCAGTAATACAGGGTGACCTCATTCATACATTGCTACGAGGCAGCTGCCTTGGGAATCTAATTCTAGACAAACCACGTTAACTTTCTTGATAGAGTGAGGCCATAGCCCCAGCTAGACGAGGGACATCACTTGCTTCAGGAAGGATTTACCAGATTGCTGGAGTCTCCTGCAAACTTGAATGCATCTACTGCAAACTGAAGCACATCTTGCCTGGGTCTTGGGGATAAAAAAGTCGAGGTGGCATCATCCAGTTGCCCATCCACCAGGCACCTAGACACAAAAGCAAGGACCAGCAGGAGCCTGCTATCAGAGATAGCTATAACCTGAAAAAAGGCATCTCTAAATAAGGGAACAACCAGCTCTTACCCACTGAAGTCAATGAAAGCATACTGGGGAGAAGAGCTCCTGTCTGGGGTCAGGGTGGCCACACAGTTGTCCACAAAGAGCCTCAGAGGTACGTGGTTCTCTGTGTTGACACCAGCTTGGAAGTGGAGGACCTCTCCCAGTTGAAATATGGTGGAGACTCTCTCAGCACTCCAGTCATCTGAAGGAGAGAGGTCACCAGGCACTCATGAACGGGAAGCCAGCTTGTGCTTCACTGCTTCCACCCAAGGAAGCCCCAACAGGCACAAGGCCCTGGGTGCTCCCCAAAACTGTACCAAACCCCACCTGCTCCAGGAGCCCTGGGGTGATACCAGCACCAGCTATGACATCTAGTGGAAGCATGGCCAGCCCAGGGTGCCCTGCACCAGAGGAGACCCTCACCCAAAACCTACCGTTCATGAGGCGCAGGGAAAAGGGTAGCTTCTCCTCAGAGGACAGGGTGGAACGGAAAGGTGTCCACGTGGGCTTGACGCCATTGCTGCTCACATTGTCCCTCCTGGGGAAGAGGTGCCCATAGCTAACGGCGCTGTGGCAGCAGATGGGCTTGCTTGGTACTCACCCACATTGGCTCACCTTGGGTAGTGGCACTCGATAGGAACCACGGCAGGGCTGGTGCGGACAATGACAGGGTTACCAGCAGGAACGGGCTGGTAATTTAAGCTCATGCTGTAGACTAGAGCATCAGGGGTCACCTGGGGAAAGACAAGACATATTATCCAGTCCATTAAGAGCCCTGTTCCTTGCCCGCACACACAGAGCAGCACATTTAAGCCTGGAGACTCAGTGCTGAGATGTTTCTTCTGGTCATCAACCAGTAGTATTTGTGTGCTGGAGGCAGGTGAGTGGCACTCATCCTGCTGCAAGGGACGCGCTGGGCTGGGAAGCTGCTCCAGCCTGTCCCAGGTCAGCAGCAGAGCTGGATGCAGAGGTGCTCAAGCTGATTGTTATTTTTTTTTCTTCTAGTTTTGGGGCATGGAAACAACAGACAGGAAGGTCTGTCCCCCCACTATATAAGAGGATGACCTCTGCTTGGAGGGGGGAGGGCATTTAATGAAGATATCTGCTGGCTGGAGTATGGGGG